ACAAACTTCTCCATCCGCATAATCATTGTTTCTTATCGCTCCTCTCACATTGAGCCCATTCTTCCATTCTTCTCTCTACCTGTCTCCATCCAGCTATCCTACCGTTCTTCTCTACTTCAGATAAATGAACCATCCACTACCATCCAAAACCCTAAACCGCATTCATCTCGTCCACACCCAAATATCCATAGCAAAGACTCCACAAAGCACCAATACCCCACCCAAACTCTTTCCGAGAAGAATACAACTCCCACCAAATTCCCACTCACCTCCGCTAATCTTTACTCTCACTCTCACATCACAACTCCCAAGATCTTTAACAGCCCTAGCGCTTCCCAAACCATCCATCAAATATCAACCAACTCAGCCACTAATTCATCTAATCGAGTAGACTAGAATCTCGCGATCCCCATTATCTCGTTACATTCATTTGAACTGTCTCCGTGGTACACGACCGGTACTTCATTTCGTTCACTGATGAGATGCCCAAAGACTCTGATATCTAGATTCCCTGCTTCCCTGCTTCCCTGCTTCCCTGCAGCCACGCTTGTTGGCGAGGTTTCTGGCTCTCCTTTCACTGTGGATTTTATTGGATTTCTTGTCTTTAGGAGGGCTGGATGGGGAACGCGCAGTTGAAGTTCTGTACTGATTGATGGTGCCACTTCTACTTTGAAAGTCGTCATTATTGAGGATACGAAGGATATTCCCATCTATATGATTTCGGTATACCGTGCGCAGGTCAACCAGTATGATTTAAACCATTCAATATCCCTAACAGAAATCTTACTGTAACTTCGATCTCTGCCCCCTCTTCAATTCTACATTTCTTCAATAAAACATGCAAAACAGATATGTTCCCACGTCTAAATAGACCGAAAGCAGAACGGGAGGAAAAGTTTGACGTCATTCATTAAGTATGCAAGTGTGCATTAAATCTAGAATCTATTCTATGAGGAGCCATGCGTCTATTGTATCCAACCCGATCTATAAAGCAGTCTATGTGTACGCGTATCGCTATCCACCAACGCCGAGAAGGTTGTCGGTGAGTGTCTATGTCTAGGTGATTATATGTACTGAGGAAGGTATGTAGGTTCGGTGGATTTGTATAAAGGCGCTGAAGAAAGAATAGAAGTTTGTCTATCTAGGGATTTCGTGATGTGAGATTATGAGGATTAGGTTGATTCATCAGCCATTTTTTCAAGGGTGGGTTAGTGAGACAGGCCCATATTCAAGAGCTTGAGAAGAGCTCCTTAGTTACCGCTGCTGTACAAGTCAACGTCCAACATTGGACTAGGCAAATTTGTGGTTGTTCTTCCAGGAAGAACCTCCTTGGAAAGGTTCATTTAGACAATCGCGACTTCGGGCTCTGCGATTCCTTTGAGAGATCGATATATCTTCTTATGTTGTTCGAGGAAGAGAAACGTTGCGATGGTTTGTGGTCCTACAATTTCTTGATTAGCGCCCACACCTCTTTCCTGTTACTGTTGTATTTTTCCTTCTTTGAATAAATTTTCGACAGGGAGTAGAAACTAGAACTCACCTAGACGAATAAAACTCGGCACCCAACCCCTAAACATCCATCCAACACCTTCTACCTTATATACATCCGTCAAGAGTCTCGCTAATCCCTTACTTTCATGACTACTCATGATTCTTGTCTTGATAACATCTACTGGGCTGCAAACCGTGGTAGCCACGAAACCCGCCATCAACGAAGCAGTAAAATGTGTCGAGAGTCCGTCTTCCATTGGTGTATGCCGAATGAGTAGCTGTTTGAAGCTGTCGTAAGAGGCCAATTGCGAAGCAGTCATTAAGACAGCTCGCATACTGTTCGGCCACACTCCGCGGTAGAGACTTTTCCACCCTTCTTCTTTCATCATGCGTACTAATCCATCCACAGCATTTTTATAGTTTCTTCTCTGCTCGACTGGTAATGCAGCATCGTGCTGCATGCGCACATTCAAAACATCGGCTGGGTTTCCTACGATTCCACCAATGAAACCTGAAGTAGAGGCCATGGCGATAAGAATTGGGAAGGAGGGAGGTTTGTTTCCTGATGTGAGATTTGTCTTGAGCTTTTCGTAGATGCCAAATCGAGTAGTACTATATGTTATTTGGCGCAGAAGGGAAGCACTAAGTCCCGAATAAAGTCCAACAACACCATTGTGCTTTAAGACATGCACGAATGTGCCAACCATAGTATTAGGCGCATTGCCGGATCGAGTCTGTAATCGGACCTAGTAATGGCAGTATGTTCAGTATTGGCAAAGGGAGAAGAATTGGCTTTTGCGCATCCATGCGATAGGAGTGATACCTTAACTATATCATAATTAGAACATGTTCGCACAAACAGTGCGACTTCCGATGCCGAGAAAAGACTTCACATACCAAGATCCAATGGATGAGTAACACAAGCCGCAAAACAACTTGCACTACCTCCAAACCAAAACGGGTACTTTACAGCAGTTACTTTAACCTCCGCTTTCACTACCTCTCCCACACTATGCTTTCCGCTCGACATTGTTCCACTGGTTCCGAATCTTTCTTCTCGAGGTTCATTCCGATTCCGCAAAGGAAAGCACAGGAATTGAAGAATGAGAGATTAGATTGAACGAAATATATGCAATTGGCTCAGCAATCAACGGAAGAAAGAGGCCGTAAGGAAAAGTGGATAGATAAAAAATGATAAACAGAAAGAAAAATGGGGAAGATTAGGGCTGATTGTTAATGTTGGGTGTAAGTTAGGACAGGAAAAAAAAAAGTTTTTGGCTTGTGAATATAGCTTGGTACTTGATGCAATTGGTGATCTTCACCCGTCACTGTTGATGATAATTGAAGATATATTTCGTGTTTTTGTATTTCTGTATGTCTGTATTTGTGTAATTTTATATGTACAAATCGATATGCAGGAGATAAGAGAGAGAGGGGCATCCGAAGATTTGTATCCTATCTGATCCATGGATACTGAAGTTCCAAGATTCTCTAGATGAAGAAGGTCGTGTGCATGGGCTTTTCTCAACCAGCCCTTTCGTCATATCTTCGGGTCGGAACAGGCGGCCGCCTCTTGGTAGGTTCGTGAGGGATATTCCGGAAGTTCAGCATTTCATAGCTCTTTTCCCATGAGGAAAAATTATTGAATTTGAAGCTCAGAACCATGAGACTTCTTACAGCAAATAAGGCCTCGTTCTCGAGGGGCAATGAGGTATTGAAAGCCTTCATTGGGCTGAGGAATAATGCTACAAGGAGTGTGAGAGTCTGTGGACAATGTCGATATAATTCTTCAGTGGCAGGTGTGTTTACACACAACCCCTCAATTTACGAAGCGCCACTAATACATTTCAAATAGACCTCTCGTCCAAGGCTACGAATGCTTCGGATCCTATTTCCTCCAAAGAATATAAGAAAGATGAGTGGTACAATGTGCCACAATCGATTACTGATTCCCTCTCTCGAAGTCTACATACAACCTTAGATCATCCTATTTCCATAACTCGCTCAATAATCGAATCAAGATTCCCCTCACCTACCTACAAGTACCATAATACATTCTTCCCCGTCGTATCTACGCATCAGAATTTTGATTCTTTAGGGTTCCCATCCGATCATCCTGGGCGAAGTAAGACGGATACATACTATATCAATAAAGAAACGGTATTACGAACCCATACAAGTGCGCACCAAGCAGATGTGTTTCGCAGTAACCAGAGTGAAGGTTTCCTTATTAGTGCAGACGTATACCGCAGAGATGCAATCGATCGAAGCCATTATCCTATTTTCCACCAAATGGAAGGGGCAAGGATGTGGGACAGAACCAAGGTTCCCAATGGGGACATAGCAGCTGCTGTATGGAAAGATATCGATGCTCTCCCTAAGCATGATATGAAAGTCGAAGATCCAAATCCACCTTTTCACGCAGAAAGAAATCCATTACAAGGAGAGCATACCGAAGCGGAAGCTGAAGCTATTGCGGCACATCTCAAGAAGAGCTTGGAGTTGATGGTGGTAGAGATATTCTCTCGCGCAAAGCAAGCAGCCATAAAAGCAGATCCCAATTTCATCGATGAGCCGCTAAAAGTAAGGTGGATAGAAGCTTATTTCCCGTTCACAAGTCCATCTTGGGAGCTAGAAATATTTTGGCAAGGGGATTGGTTAGAAGTACTTGGATGTGGTGTTGTTAAACAGGATATCATGCAGAATGCAGGTGTGCCAGATCAATTAGGATGGGCGTTCGGTATAGGGTTGGAAAGAATCGCCATGTTACTTTTTGAAATCCCAGACATCAGACTGTTTTGGTCCAAAGATGAGAGGTTCCTAAGTCAGTTCAAAGGAGTTTCGGAGAACCTAGAGAATTTGAGGAGATATATTCCATTCTCGAAACATCCTGCATGCTACAAAGATGTTTCCTTTTGGTTACGCTCATCCTCTTCAGCAGGAGGTGGTAATGTGGCCAATGCGCATGATTTCCATGAGAATGATTTCATGGAGATTGTCAGGGATATAGGAGGAGACAGAGTGGAGGATGTCAAAAAGGTAGATGAATTTACACATCCGAAAACTGGCCGCAAGAGCATGTGCTATAGGATTAATTATAGGAGTTTGTTGAGAACTCTAACGAACGAAGAGACGAATAAAATGCATGAAGAGGTAAAAAAGGAACTGGCTGGGAAACTAGGTGTAGAGTTAAGATGACCGATGGTAGAGAAGGAAGTCTAAAATATGTATAGCTATTTCTTGTATAATAAGTCTATTACGATACCCAAAAGAAGCCTCCTCAATTTGCATTTAGCACATAGACTCGAGCAATCAATGAAGTTCGTGCTTCAATCTTTATATATCTGAAGTTTGTTCGTTGGGATACCACTGTACACACTCCAGGAGCTTTGGTATGGTACCTTACCTTTTCCGGTAAGTTCAAAATTTGGGGCTCATCAGGAATAGCTCTGATCAACTAAAGCGCACCGGGACCTTCCAAAAATACCTAAGCCAGATCGCAAATGGTACTCACCGGGCGTAATTTATACTTTTTGTGATCTGATACCCAAGCTTCAACCCCCGCATACGTCATTATTATTGATCTGCATCAATTAATCGACTAGCTAGCAAACAAGCAAATAAGTAACACAACATCTATATTTTCACTCGAATCAATTCAGGTTGTTAAGAGAAAGGGTCAAGAATATACTCATACACATGAAGAATAAGAACCCCTTAAAACAGAGAATAACAAGCAAGCAAGCAAGCAAGCAAGCAAGCAAACAAACAAACGATTAAAACGATTAAAATGACGGAAGCTACGCATACAAAATTGATGGATACGGAGAGGGGAGGGGAGAACACACAGTAAGTTGCTTTCCATACCTTGATCCTGAAAACAGAATTGAGCTATTGAGAGATGTCATGAAGTGATGATATACTGATGCAATGGGCTTAGATATGAATCCCAAATATATTTACGCAGTCGCCTGCTAAAGACCAGGGGACTTTTGGAGGTAATTTTTTCTTTTTCATCTTCCCTCTCTTTCAAGCTATCTATGATATTCTCAAATTCACCCCTTTTCATTCTTGTCCTTCCACCCACCTTCCAAATCTCAAACAGTATCTGACCCTGCGGAATAGACTCGACAGGACCCTCCGAAGCCACTCTCCAAAAAGCCGCAGAACACAAAGCGCGTGGCGAGCGAACGGCGGAGAATATTAGATACGGAGAGGCGATTAGTGAGCATGGGTTTGGAGGGGAGACGTAGGGAAATAGTATGGGGGTTGGGGGCGGAGAGAATAAGGAGGAGGACGGAGGATACGAGGAGAAGATGGGTTATGGAGGGTGGAACGAGTTGTGGTTGATAGAGAGGGAATGGTGTGAAAGGGAGAGGAGGGAGTGGAAGGGAAATAGTGTTTACTAGATTATGGGATTTCGTTCAAGTTCTGTGGTGTTTGGTTGAAATTAGATGAGAATAGATATCAATGATTTATTTTGTATATGTATTTGTATGATGTACCAATCATCGAATCGACCGGTTTACTCACACCAAATGACATCGATTAGGCATCCTCTCCGAGTCTCCATTAGCGGATCTCTAACTCCGTTTCCTACAGCAGAATAGTGTCTGGATAGTGGCGAAAAAGCGAGAATGCGATCCCATAGCTAGATGGCAATTACGATAGAACAAAGGCGAACAAAGCTCGCGCTCAAGCCGAAGGATGCGCAGACATACCTAGTGTTTAGTATATGGACATGGACGAATTTCCTAGTTATCCACGTGGTATGGTGCTAGGATAGACGAGGAACTGAGGGGTCAGGCCCCCATGTTGTGTAACTGGTGAAGGAAGGTATACGGTCAGAGGGGTGCTTACCCGCCCAGTGTAAGAAAAGTGACTGAAATCGATTCAATATCCAGAAAGTCTTCGATGTGTTGTGGAAACTCTTGGGTTTCTTGGGGTAACGTAAGATTGTCTTAGCAAATGGTTTTTAGTCTCCGTGGAACTAGTCGATCCGTTGATCACGGCGTAGTTGCCGTCGTGATTGCGGCATTGGTGAAATAGCATGCAAGCTATTTCAATTGTAGGGTACTATAAGTATAACCTTAATGAATTGTAGAATAGTAGAGGAGTATTAGAACAGACCATATTTGATAAAGCAAGTTGGTTCTGAATAGAGAAGCTGTCGCGTATCACAGCAAGGGATCATATATCGAGGTTCCTAATGGGATACTCGAGCCGTTGGTTCTGGAACAGGCTTCTTGGTAAGATTGGTTAAACTGGGTACCAAGAGTTTGGTAATTCGTGATACAGCATATGTTCGAATGCTACAGTGGACGGTACTATGCAGAAAGCGTATAATAGTACAGTAAGTGCATGTAGGTCGGTGATGTTGTATCCTTGGATTCGAATCAGAATGCTGACCTTCTACCCCCCCTGTCGGAACATAGTCTTGGCATTGCGTGTGTTGAAGTCGATAGAGGGAGACGGTTTTGTATATGATATGTGATTTCTGATGTAGGAAGCAGTTGCCAGCCATTTTAATGAGCAGACTTCAGTTGGTCCGAAGTGACTTTTTTGACTACCTAGGTAATGGACTGGATAACTTCGGTTGTGAGAACTCATAGAACATACAAACTGTGCTACTCAACCGAAGCCGACGCCGGCATCGCAACTCAGAGAGTTCAGACCACCCCTTAAGATTTGGAGGGACCGAGGGGAATATCTTTCTCAATATTGTTCCACTTTTTCAACCCCACTACAAAGCTTGAGAGCTTCCAGTCGGAGACCGATGAGATTCTCTTCTTTACTAAGCTGGTGATAAGTGGACATTCCTTTCCGTTGGGAATTGCGGCAACACGGATATCGTTTTAAATTCAATCTAATTGGATACGGAAACGTGAGACCGATGTATAATAGACCTGAGTAAGAAGGATTATGTGGGGATTGATGTTCGATATTCGATGTTCGACGGCACCAGGAACAATGAAGTATATCTGACATGCTAGAACGAAAAATGAGTCTCCTCGAGGTAGAGATAGCGAAGGATTTCAAAGAAGAGGAAATATTGTATTAGGAGCACTCTAGATGCATCAATTCCTTCTCGTCTACAACCCCGAGCGATGGAAATAGACCTTGAGCAGCCATAATTGTCACAAGATCTGCAATTATTTGAATTCTTTCCCTACAGCAAATGCAAAGCTTATGCACTTAACCCCACACACATCCCTAGCAAAGGGGAGGGAATCCCGAAAAATGTTAGTTTGAATTAGTTCGAAATTGGTATTTGGAGCCGCCGGAGTGTATTCGCTTCGCACACAGCAGGCTAGCGACTCGTGGAAAGGAGTTGCAACTTGTTAAGAAACAATATGGATTAAGTATATCGTAATAAGCAGTAATAAAGAGCATGAAGAAACCAATCAGAAAGAAGGGAAATGGGAAAAGCATACTAGGACATAGATTCATTAACCGGGGTAAATCAACACAAACTACCTTGGGTGTTGCATGTTGTAGCGACACAAAGTCCATTGCCCCGAATTCTACTACAGCTAAAGACCCAGCTGATTCCTTTCCCATTATCTTACATTCTCATTCCCATTCCCTTCTTTATACTTCTTCTTCATGATTGAAATCGCACTTGATTGAATCTTCTTCTTATTCACTCTCCTCAAGCATTATACATTACGCATTCCGACTGTTCACGTACTTGAATTTCGTCACCGATTATTGGTGCACAAAGAAAGGAGAGACATTATACTTCCACGCCCCCGCATTGCGGTAAGACTAAGTAAATACCAAGCTCGTAAATACCAAGCTCGCGGCGTAGACCTTCACTCCATCTTTCACATCTCAATCAATTCACAATACCACAATACCGGAAATATAGCAATGTCTGAAGGAAGGGTAAAGCCATCTACTCCAGTAGTAGCAGAAGCTCATGATGTCGACACTTTCCGTGAGTCAAAACCTCAAGCTATCCGTGCCGAATATGCAGTTACTGACCCATCATCCTACAGATCCCCCGCAAAAGATGTTTGACAGTAAGCCCTCAATCCTCAGACCCACGAGAGGTCGCATGCCGGTTAATTATTGCGGAATACTAACAGTTTTTATGTAGAGCATCCAAGCAAACCCCATTTAAGCGGTAAGATCATAATTCCCCCCCTTTTTGGCAGAAATCATGGAAACTGATAGCAACAGGACTCGACGAATACAAGAAACTCTACAATGAATCGATCAAAGAGCCCAATAAGTTCTGGGGCAGAATGGCCCGTGAACTTCTTACCTGGCATAAGGATTTCGAGACTGTACACAGCGGATCGTTCGTTGGCGGTGATAATGCTTGTTTCTTGGAGGGTCAACTAAATGCTTCGTATAATTGTGTTGATCGTCATGCGATTAAGAACCCAGATAAGCCAGCTATCATCTACGAAGCCGATGAGGCTAGCGATGGTCGCACCCTTACATATGCTGAGCTTCTGCGAGAAGTTTGCAAAACCGCGTATGTTCTCAAACAAATGGGTGTCAAGAAGGGAGATACTGTTGCGATTTATTTGCCTATGATTCCAGAAGCTGTTATTGCTTTTCTGGCTTGTTCACGTATCGGTGCAGTTCACTCTGTAGTCTTTGCTGGTTTCTCATCCGATTCTCTCAGGGATAGAGTTATTGATGCTCAATCGAAAGTTGTCATTACTTCCGATGAAGGCAAGCGTGGTGGAAAACTCATTGGCACAAAGAAGATTGTGGACGATGCCCTGAAACAATGTCCTGATGTCACACACTGCTTGGTTTACAGACGCACCGGTGCGGATGTTCCAATGACCAAAGGACGTGATTGGTGGTGGCACGAGGAGGTCGAGAAATGGCCATCTTACATTGCTCCAGAGCCAATGAACTCTGAGGATCCATTGTTCTTGCTTTACACTTCTGGATCAACTGGAAAACCAAAGGGTGTTATGCACTCAACAGCCGGATATCTTTTAGGTGCGGCAGCTACTGGAAAGTATGTTTTCGATATTCACGACTCAGATAAATTCTTCTGTGGTGGTGATGTCGGATGGATTACTGGTCATACATACGTGGTTTACGCCCCTCTTCTTCTTGGCGTTGCAACTGTTGTGTTTGAAGGAACTCCAGCATACCCAAATTTCTCCAGGTATTGGGATGTCATTGAAAAACACGAGGTCACACAATTCTATGTTGCGCCTACAGCACTCAGATTATTGAAGCGTGCCGGTGATCAACATGTCAAAGCACAGATGAAGCACTTGAGAGTATTGGGATCAGTTGGTGAACCAATTGCTGCTGAGGTCTGGAAATGGTATTTCGAGATTGTTGGAAAGGAAGAAGCTCACGTTGTTGACGTAAGACCATCTTGATCTGGTCATTGAAATTAATACTGACATTAGTGTAGACCTACTGGCAAACTGAGACCGGTTCCCATGTTATCACTCCTCTCGCAGGTGTCACTCCTACTAAGCCTGGTAGTGCATCGCTTCCATTTTTTGGTATTGAGCCTGCGATTATCGACCCTGTCTCCGGAGAAGAAATTCACGGAAATGATGTCGAAGGTGTATTGGCTTTCAAGCAACCATGGCCTAGTATGGCTCGTACCGTTTGGGGTGCGCACAAGAGATATATGGACACCTATTTGAACGTCTACAAAGGATACTACGTAGGTTTCACTCTCCAATTTTTCTTTGCAGCATACTAACAGGATACAGTTCACTGGTGATGGAGCAGGACGTGATCACGAAGGTTATTACTGGATTCGAGGCCGTGTTGACGATGTCGTCAATGTCAGCGGTCACCGTCTCTCTACTGCCGAAATCGAAGCTGCTTTGATTGAACACCATGCTGTCGCTGAAGCTGCCGTCGTTGGTATCAACGATGAGCTTACCGGACAAGCAGTCAACGCTTTCGTCGCTATTAAGGACGGCCATGAGGTCGACGATCAGTTGAAGAAGGATCTCATTTTACAAGTCCGAAAGAGTATCGGTCCATTCGCAGCTCCAAAGGCATTATTTGTTGTTCCAGATTTACCAAAGACTAGAAGTGGTAAGATTATGCGTAGAATTTTGAGAAAGATTCTAGCGGGTGAGGAGGATCAATTGGGCGATATTTCTACGGTATGTTTGACACTTTCCCCTTGGATGAAAAGTACTAGTGCTAACATCGATATGTAGCTCTCCGATCCAAGTGTATGTCGAGAAAAATCATCGATACGTTCACAGCGCAAGAAAGAAGTAGAGTAATGAAAAGAGGTACATTGGATATTCTAATGATGGGAGAGAGGAGTTTTACATTGTTTATTGCTTTTAATGCATGCAGATTATGTCATGCTAGTTTATCTTTTCCTTATAGTC